CTTGAAGAGGTGTTTCCTAACCTCAGTTAAACCTGTAATTGCGAAAGACTGAAACTACACTTATGATGTTTCGTACAATTATCCGTGCGTCCAACTTCTGTTTTCTGATTGACCCCAACACCTAAAAGGCCGGTACAAAACTCTTTAGTCAAAGACTTAACAGACCAGCAAAGGTTTGCCAGTTTGTCCAGCCTTTCTGACAGCTTGTAAACACCATCCTTTGTCCCTTAACAAAAGATATTAGAGATATAGTGGAACTTTTGATTTCCGAACCGATCTAAAAACAAACGTATTTATATATCATATATCCCTGAATAAAGTTAAAATGCCCAACACCGAAATAAATAGAATAAACTGAATAAATTTCCATGATTACGAGGAGAAGCGTATACAATAAAGCACTAACCATGGTGATCACGTTAGACTTATACTTCGTACGACTCAACTTTTATGCTAACCTAAGTCGAACAGAAAACATTTTATCATAAAATGCCTGGCTATCTTCCATAGCTTTGACAACATCAGATGGATACTCTATTTCTGGTTTACTTGAGGAAGTGTCAGATTTGATGAAACCGCTGCTGTTTAAAGCCCCTCTTCGCCATGCTACCCAAACATCTTGCCAGGCTTGGATTATTTCGCCAGGTTTCCATGTAGTCATATGCTCTTCATATTTGATACCAACTCGATCACAATACTCCTTCATGATCTGCTTCGGTGATTCGAGAAGGTCATCGGCATCTATAACAACTGGATTGGCATCAAGGTTATCTTTGACAAACGAATACATTTCGAAAAGTTCCTGAAATCCAGCTTCTTGTGGGTCGAAGTAATTCCAACCGGAATCTTGGATTTCTGGATTTTCACTAGCGCGATACTGGGAAGGAATCGACTTCTTTGGATTTCGAATAAGAAAAGAATGTTTCGCGTCTTGAAAAAATTCCTTTAAAAAACCCAATCTTCCTTTCATGTAACAAGCCATATCCTTGACAAAAAGCAAATCAATGTTATCGTCATTAGCTTGATTCAGAATTTCCCTGGCAACGTTTTCGTAACTCGCTTTGGAATCAGCCTCTTTTGATTCATAGCGACAGCTTTGTCTCTGAGGTCCAAAGTAAAACGAAGCAGAAAACGGTTCTGACATCAACTGCATGCGGGGTAACGTCAAAATCGAACGCTCAAACGCAGATGAACAGGATCTAAAAGCTGTCCACAGGAAAACATGCTTCTTTGGGATTGTGCTTGTCATAGTGGTAAACTGCGAGTTAACAGGAATCAAAAATAAATGAAGAGCAAATGCTACAAACATAAATAGACTCGAGTAAGCAGAATAACCAGCAGCAACTTCCTCCACCAATGAAATAGCAAAGTTTGTGATTGGCTCCTTGAGCCATAGTTAGTTCCATGCCCCCGCTCGTCCCAGTAGTTTGGAACAAAATTGGGTATGACGGAGTCACAGTCACCGTGATATAAGCATCCCCATCCCCAAAAACGAATTAATTATCATAAATATATAATAATTAAAAATAGAAAAGATGTACTGTTTGCGTGGCAATACAAAGCCTGTTCTATCCGTTCAGATCAGGGGCACCCAACGACCGAATGTTTTCAAATACGCCAGGAAGTATCTCGGATGGTTTTCCCTATGCTTTAGAAGCCTGCTTGGTTAATTTGGAGTCGCCCTAGTTATCTGTTCGGATGCCTTGAAATGTGAATAACACACTCCGAAAATCATAGCCTTGAGCTATTAGAAAACCTCCGAATATTTTAGACGAATGGAATGGTTATCCAGAAATTTTTAGCTTTTCTCAAGCTTTAGAAATTTCTAGGCAATGTTTGCTTCTTCGAACAGTTATTTCACAGAAAAAAGTCGCTGTGTGCCCCTGTCAGATGGTGAAAAGCGAGTTAAAGCGATATGCAGAAGAGTTATGCTTTAACATAACAATCAACAACCACTCCTGCGCAGTTAACCATGAAATGATGAACGCACAGAGAAGGAGTATGAACGCGTCTTTACACCACTCAAGTAAACGTTAGCTTAATTACATGACACGGATGCGGAAGATGGTGCACGTAGTTTTAACAAGAAGACTTAGGGGCATACAAATACGGCTGAGCAACTACAAATTGACGATCAAAATCGAATGTAAATTTGCTAATCGTCATTAGATGGTGAGCTATTATAAGCTACTATTGATATGAATATCAAAGTTCACTGAGTAAGACATCTTTCACTCCACTGAAAACACAACAATAAGACATATAAAACGAGTAAAACGCTTTAGTCAAAACTCACCAAACTAGAACCTAGCTTGCCCTGAAGATAAGAAAACTGACCAAACTACCAGAGGGCTTCACAATGTAGTCACGAGAAGTAAGTGTAGCCTCCCACGCAGGCGTTTTTACACCTGCTCAACCGAGGATGTCGGGCGTCGATAAAACCCCTGAACGGGGAACATTCCGGAATATGCCACAAAATTCCGGAAAATCCCGGAACATCCCGGAAAAAAAAATAATTTTCATGAAATAATAATAATAATAATAATAACAATAAAATTTTTTTAAAAGTTAATGATAACGTAAAATAACAAAAAAAAAAACGAAAAATAAATAAAGAAAGAAAAAGAAACTTGTATCATCTCCGAGTACGAGAAAACAATATTTTTGTCGCAAATAATTTGTTGGGCGAGTGAGGGTCCATGCAAATCACAGTAATTAGTGAAGGCTTGCTTTTAAATTCAAAATATATTAAAATGGGTCGCGAGGAGGAGGTTTTCAAGCTTTCCTCACACAGCCACCTCTTGTAATTGTTTGCCATGCGGTTTAACGGTTATCCATTAACGGCTTTGCGACCGTAAGAAGAGCTTAGGGGCTCGTCGCTTTGGACTTTATTGGATACTGAGATTCACATTCGCCGTGAATAGTTGCAGTGGCAGTGGAAGTGCAGCAGTAGCTTCTAACTGTTATCAATTGCCCTGAATCAAGTTAGCCGAGTCTCCCGAGTCGCAAGTGAAGTTTGCAACTCGAGAACATGGCTGAAATTCAAGCTAGATCACAGCCCCTATTTTCTTCCGCCAAGCTGAAGATGGCGATCACCGCTCTCAAAGCGATTTGGATATCCTCTGACGACAAAACTGGTGAGAGCGAAGTTGGTGGTAATTCGCGTATAAATGCTTTGCTAACGCGTTTGTTGCTTTGTAATAATCAGTAAAATGTAGATGAAAAATAGTGTTTACAAAAATAACAAGCCGCATAAGCAAACCTTCACGTGAGGCTTGGGCTCGAAATATAGGGGGGAACAGCGATCCAGCTCACAGGGGATGCCCAAATTCATGATCACTGTGACAACGGCGATCGTCATCCTCAACCAGGCGGGAAAAAAGAGGGGATCGGACTCGTCTGAAATATCAGGCTGACTGTAAACAGTATAGAAACTACTACGAATGTGAGTATTGTCAGCTAAAATCCAAAGACAGGAGCTCCTAAGCTCTTCTTAAGTCCACAGAGCCTAGTCTGCAAAATTTTTAAGAACTTTTTGCTATTTAATTTTTTAATTTAATTTTTTATTGGAAAACGATTTTTTTGCCCACGACCCACACCTACACCAACGACCCACGCTCTACCCACTACCCATGACGACCCACGACATTTAGCTACACTAAGAAAGTATAGAGGACTCTTTGTGTCGTCACGCAACCTACAAAGAGACCAGTGAAGCATACCTCTTTTAAACTGAACACAGAATAAAGTACCTCAGTTGTAGTAAAACCCGTATTAAGCCAAGTTGTAGGCCTTTCTAAAAACGCTTGTCACTAGATAGTGCTTTCTCGTTTATATTTTGCGCTTTCCATATGCATCTGCGCTAAGTAGCTGTATTTGTGACCGCGTATTAAATCAATATCAGAACTAAAGTTGACTAACTGCAGTTATTTGAGCTTACTTACTTGAAATGTAAAATCATCCAGTACGACCGGCCACCATAAATAACTTAAATGTTCATTAAAAGCGAAAGGCAGCCCTTCACTTAGTGTAAACCGTATATGGTGGTTTGTTTAGAGCCGGTTCAGCCCTGCAAAATGAAGGTGAAATAAAAGCTGTCGTGTATTACATACTCGAGGGGTTCTGACCCATTAGTAATGCCTTATATGGGTTTTAAAGCTCTATGACCCACCATCTCATATGATGTCCTTATCAGGCTTTATGTTATATTAACTCACCCCGAAAAAGGGTGACTTATAACTTTCAGAAATAGAGATCTATCTACAACGTGAGTTAGTCAGGCTGCAATGAAAGTGATTCTCGTGGCATTGTGACGTCGAAAACTGAGCCTTTTAAATACGGACTTCGTTGCATTATTCATTTTCATGTAATCAAAACAAACGGATCTATTTCTGCCCTTTGCGTTGTTGTTAAGGGTTGGAAAATAATAGATGAACGGCTCAAAAACGGTACTTCAACAGTGTCTTGCGTGTAATACCTTGGTGAGTGTAATTATTGATAACAAATACGCTCTTTCTTGTTTTTTGTCCATGGCTTGAACTGAATTTTACTTCTGCACAATTTGCAAATCAACTGTCGGTGTGAGTAGGAATCTGTTTTGGACCACATACACAGTATAGCACCCAGGAAAAATCATTTTCCTCTGAAGTACAAGAAAGTCTGTCTAATTTCGGAAGTTTCTTCTTTTTAATCTAGCCTTTTAAAATCACCAGGCAAGTGGCTCTGTTGCAAAACTGCAGAGATAGAATTTCGTGTTTATTTGGAAAGCCCTGAGTCATGCATGCATCGCGACCTGCGACGGTTCGGGAGACGGAATGTGTCGGCTCTGTCGTCCACTTTTTCTAAGAAATAGTGTTTTTTGTAAAGCGAGTTTATATTTGTGTCTCGTCAAAATAGTTTGCAAAACAGAAAATGTGCTGTCCGATTAATCATAAATTCAGTTCATTTTACTAACTCAGCAATTTTGTTTTACTTCTCCGTGGTTAATTATAAGGTAGAGACAACTCAATATAATATTTTCCGACCCGGAGGGCAAGTTAAGTGGACTTTTCGCTACAAATTATTACTTTAGAAGACTGGGTTATCACTATAAATTTACGCTAGCTATCCATGACTCATGATTTTTTTTTTAATTAATACATTTTCATCCTTACTTAAGGCTTTATTGCAATAAATCAAAACAGCTCTGCTCGATGTCCCTACTTTATATTGAGACATTACCCTGTTTACAATTCTTTATTTTTAGATGACTGCCTCATCAAAAGCGTGTGTCTGCGGCCACGTTTTGAAAGAAACGAGTCGTTTTATCGATGGAAAAAGATTTTCAGGTACGAAACCAACGTTCTGATTCTGAATTTTTCGCAACTTTAACCCAGTGTGCACCAGTCCGCACACGCGTACCTAAAAAATGTCGAAGATACGTAACAACCAAAAACAAAATAGCCACAAAGTAAAGGAACGAAAGGTAATTAAGGGATAGCTCATAAAGGGTGTAACTGCCTATTCAATTATGATTACCTCGCCATACTGATAAAGAGAAAAAATTTAGTCAAGTCACCCGCAAAGACAACCAATTTGGGAGACGTGGAGGGATGAGTTGGAAAACTGTGCGTTTCCCCCTTGTTCATCAGTTATATTTCTCGGGTAAAGAAAGTTTCAGTAGAGTGAAGTAAGATATCTCGCCATCATAGGTTACTTTTAAAGTAATTTAGTTCTGTCTTTCTGTTTACTTTTACAGAACACCGAGCCAAATTATATTCTCGTTTAGAGACAGAAAACATGAGAAAAGAAGCACGAAGGAATAAGCCACGAAGGAGAGGTCGCCCGAAGGTAAAAGACCCGTTCGGATCGTGTTCCGTTGGATTCAATCATTTTCTGTTGTTTGGGTTGATTTGATTTGCTCGGTTTCAGTTGGAAAAAAACGGTTTGTGGTTTGTGATTGCATGATCAACTTTTTTGACCAGTTCAGAACATGGATGATCGGGGAAAAGCTAAACTGTTAGTTGGCATCGTGTTTTAGTCGTCATTAGTTTGGCGCGTGAATTGTGTGCGTGTGCGACTAGCCTGCGTGGTCACCGCCCAAATCTCCTTTCCCTCACCTCCCTGATATTCCCTTTCGAACGCCTGTCAGGCAGGCTAGTGTGTGACGATAGGGACTGTGATTACAGAGTACTTTCAGTCACAACCATATTTCAAAGAAAAACAGATGATACTGAGAGTTTCTATTGGAACAACCTCAAACCCGTCTTTGGTTAAAACTGTTAATCCCAGGAAGTTCGCCGCTCTTTGGTGCGTTCGCCATACAAAACCGTCAACTACACAGGCTAGACTGAGTTAATACAGATTTTCCACGTCAATTAGAATTGTAGATATGAAACGTGAACAGCAGTCAGCAGATGGAGTAAAAAGTATAGAGGAATAAAAACTCAGACTATAACAATGCTTTTCTTTTGTTTCTAGAACCGATTTGCAGTAAACCACACCTCAGTAAAGACGAACAGTAAGCCCATAAGAAAACGATTCTCTTGCTTACGAACAAATCCAGGGTCCTCTCCGCTGGGAAAGCGCCGTTCAAATATGGTACCGACAGAGCTACTGAGTAGATTGCCAAACGCCCTCCAGGAAATAAACCGAAAGATAGCAGCACAGAACATCATTTGGCTGGAATTGCAAATTGAGAAGAAAATCAGTTAGCTTGGAACTGACTAAGAGCGATTTTTCCCCGCTCATTTGGGTCCACTTTCCCTCTCCGAGAAGAAATCGCAGGTTCATCTCCTCGCGACCTGCAGATATAAAATTTTCCGAACTGGAAATCGAGGGCGCATAGAAATAAGATTTCTCAGTTATTATTTCTTGGTGTTTGAAGCGACAAAACACTTACTCCAAAATTTCAGACGCGGCTAGAGAAGTCGGTGTTCTTACAGCCCCATCACCATTCTAGTCAGTTTAAATGAAAAAAACTGGAAATAAAATTAAAAGCAAAACTAGAACAATATTGAAACTTTAAACATGATTAATGGTTATGAGATTTTGACGTGATTTAGTCACACCCCCTCTAATCTCGCCCTCGCCAACCTCCACCCTACACGACCCTATAATGACCGAATCAAATAAACGGTAATATAAATAAGCGCTGCAGTAGTGTGACGTTTATTCGAGGAAGATGCCATCTTGAAGAGGTTCGGCGATAGCGACTTGCTTGACAGGGCGTCCTTTATTGTCCTAATATCTTTATTCTAAGCCTCTGTCCAGTCGATCCAGGCTGGGTTTCATGTTTTAAGTGCAGCGAAACAACAACAAAAAAAGGCAGAAAAAATTTGAATTTTTTTTAAGTAAAACTCTACGAATTGCATAGTGTTATTTAAAAGGTCTTTCAAAGAGGTTTCATTTGTATGAATGGTAACACCATAGAATCTCACCAACAGATTAATGCAAATAACAATGTCACCCAAAACTTGGTTTGCCATGATGCTGCTTACACACGGTACACGCTCACTTACTGTGTCTGTGTTTTTCCCGGGTAAAGGTCGATACGCCACCGGAAAGTGTTAACCAGGAGAATGCAAGGCAAACCGTCAAACGCTGAATGCCTACAGAAATGGTACAGTCCCATATTTTTTACGACAATAAATAAACTCGAATTTCAGTATGGTTTTATTAGCATGGGCGACTGTTTTTCTCGTTTGCCATGACAAACAGGCAAAGGAAACATTCCTTACTGGTCGCACCTTTTTCCGCTATGACATATGACCGATAGGTCTTTCTTGTAGATAATATTTAGTCGGGCGTGGTTTTAATTTTACAATTCTTATGTACATACGTATTTAGACTGCAACAATGCCGCTATTTATGTCCATCTCCGTGGAGTTTTCTCGAACTTTTCGAGCATGTCAAAATAAATGCGGTTGCCTAATGAGTGACTTTTTATCTTCTCACGTCAGAAACGAGTAGTAAAACCAGACTTTTTCCTTCAAGACTTCTGTTACCCATGGATAAAATCAATCAATGTTTTACGTTATCATTAGCAACTTCAAGCATATTTTTCTCTCCCGGTTATGTAATATCAGGCTTAAGTACCCGAGACGCCTGCATGGTTTGGGAGAAGAACAACAAAAGGGTAAGAGATTAAAAATGCACCGCCTTATCACATATCCTACTTCCTCGACCAATTGCAATACTGAAAAAAATAAATAAGATAACGAGAAGCGCTATGGTTGCACATTCCCTTAAAGATAATACAACTTCTGTAACCCTATCGACAGAGCATCAACCGAGTTCCGCAGTTGTAGTCGTCATCAATTCTTGCGTTTACTGGAATTTACTGACATGTTACTGAGCGCCTATAATTCAGTGGAAATTATGTAACGTAGTACCTGCCTTGTTTGTCAGAAAAGCCATGAACTGTGACGTCACTGGCTACAAAGCTTGTGGCTCATTGATACTCAAGCAAACCAGTCGTCAAAACCACGAAGTAGTTCATCGATTTAGATCAGAACTGCGCCATGGTTCTTCAACAGTGTTTGGCCTGCAATACAGCGGTAAGAAACTAAACAAAAATCTTCGCTAGTTTAGTTCGAAATCTTTCGATCAGTTACAGCTGCTCCTGTCTAAGTAATATTCAAATTTGTCGAGGAAGTTCTAATTTTCATAAATTCTCTTCAGCGACTCGTCCAATGGCTTTTCGCGATCTTCGCTTTTACACCACACTGTTTATTTGTATTCTTCCCGTTTCTAAGTCATTTTTAAAGCAATAACCATGCCGCTTAAATACGAACATTGATTCTTGTTCCAAACTAGTAGGTAGATCCAATTTATATGCGGCTCTAATTTAGTCGCCCCGACCTCCCAGTGACAACATGCGTTTAAGATAGCGATCCGACCGCGCCGTGGCCCTAGGTTCCTAGTCGTTTACTTGTCCGTAAAAAAACTGGAGAAAAATTGGAAATTTCACTTTGAATATTACTTGAAAAAATAGTCCCGTGCAAAAAACACTTCTGAGGAAGCTTGACGAGAATTTATTTGAAAGGTCACACAATAGAAAACTTGCTCTAACAGTCGAAAAATAGAACCCAAAACCGGCCATCTTTGACTCTAGAGTGAGTCAGGAGGATTGTGATATTTAGAACAAAGTAAATTCGTGTATAACATCTGTCAAACAATGAAACGTATATAAGCTAAAACATTAGCACATAGAAAAGCGAAAGGTCGAAACTAAAAATGAGTCCGATAAACGAAAGCTCATCCTAGGAAAACGCTTTGGGTCCGTTATTTAAACGAAGTCTAACTTAGACCTCGATTTAGGAAATCTTTGAACCTCCAGATCTCTTCTTTAGTGGGTTATCTTGAGAAGACAAATTCTTTTCCAGTCTTCGTTATATGCTTTAGTGAAACTGTTCACGAAAAATGGTGTTTAGATAAAAGCGTTCGGCAAAGTGAAAACGGCTTAGAACGCGGTTTTGTTCAGTAAGACACTGGCTACTGACTCTGCCTGTGAATTCTTTCGTGCCCGTTTAGTTCTACTTGTATACTTAAAAGTATACTGGGTAAAGGCCCGGCTAGTTGCTTAAGGCAATAGTTGAAAGGAAGGCACCCTGAGAGTGAAATTATATAAGCTTCCCTATCATCATTCAATCGCCAATGCAACAAAATACGGCGCTTTCTGGCAACGCCTAGCTCGTGTTTCCAACCTTCCTCATCTAGACTTGAACATTTGTAAAACCACAACAAACACTGGTCAAATAACAAGGGCTGGAAATTTGCGCACTGGGACCAGAAAAGAAGTTGAAATACGAAATAGACTGAGCCTGACCGCGGCTGCAGATAAGCGACAGAAAAGTAAACGGAGAGGGAGTAAAACTTGAAAACACTTCGAACAAATTTGCCCGATATTAGTGACTCTTCCAAATGCTGAAACTTCAAATTCCGCAACCATTTTTTTCTTTGCAGATTTTCCCACAAATAACAAAGCGGAAACGGAAAACTGACAAATAAATCCTTTTAAAGTGGGCGAGCAGGGCAGGCAGGGCGAAGCCAAAACCTTCTTCCTTTCTTACAATTGCCGGATTGCGCGCTTTTGCGAAACATTTTGTTCTACAGAATGATATCAACAGCAGCAATAGTTCACAAGTAAAATAGAAAACATGGAAGTCGATGAATTAAATAATAAATGTCTAGCAAAATTTTATGTTTCCGTGAGGAAAACCGACGGCAGCTATTTTAAGAAAACCAGCTTGTTGTCGATCAGAGCCGCCCCCGACCGACATCTTAAAGCCCCAAAATCTTTCAAAAACATGTCTCTTTTTTATTTTATTTTCTCGAATAATCATCAATGTAATTACACTAAAACAATTAGTCGCTTTCGGTACTTATTGTTAAATAATCTTAACCGATGTTCTCTTTAGATGACTGACTCATGTATCTCGTGTGTGTGCGGTCATGTGTTTGAGTATTCAAAGCAGATTGGCGGAAAGAGATTCTCAGGTAAGATCAGGCGTGCCTTTTTTGTCTCGCGAGCGTATTGGAAATCTAACAATCCAAGGCCTCATCCAATCTAATCCCCAGGGCTTTTTCGAGATTGAGGCCTATCATCATAGTGGAGGTGGTGTCCCGACCACCAAATAGAGACCTTTTGATTCTAAGGGACTGTGCAATAATTATCAGGAGCGGGCGGGGGCTGAAAAACTAGAGGGGGGGCCATTACTTTCTTTTCTGGCTTCAGAAGTTTTAGATTTTGAGCCAATGTGGTAAGTACCCCGGTACTTAGCAAATGTTTTGTCTAAATCTTCAATCAAGCGATCAACATCCTTCTCGATACTAGATGTTACCAGAAACCCATAAGCGGTTGAACAACCCCTTATGAGTTTCTGATGCTACATAATAACGTTCGTCATTATTGAAGCTGCGACGGCAGCTCAGTCCAGCGTACGCTTACAGTAGCATGACAATATAAAAGGTATTTACTTAAAGGCATCTATGGTAATGGTGGCGGTGAGGGGTGGATGTGTGTGTGTGGGTGGGTGGTGGGAGGGGTGGTGCGACGTTATTTTTAACATAACAGAGGGGGTTAGAACTAATTTTTTTTTGTTTTGGAGGGGGGTACTGTCTAAGTTTTTGCTAGATAACTCTAGTTTTTCAGTCCCCCCCCCTCCTAATAATTATTGCACAGTCCCTAAGACGAGTACGACAACGAGTACAAGATTTTCGTAGTACTAAGTAGTGCCTGCGCGCGAACCAGCGTCATTTTGGAGGGAAACGTGGTAATGAGTGAGAATGTCGTAATGGCAGGAACAAGTTATGAAATGCTAGATGTGTTATCATTTTGCGATCGGGAGAGGGCTTAACCTACTCCGATAAAGATAACAGTACAATGAAGCATTCCGGGGTGTCTATTTTTTAGAATACGCGCCAAAAACGTAAAGTCAAATATCATACTCGTAGCCGTTATCGTCCTTGAACCTAAAGGTCTCTCTATAATCTAATTATTTCTTTTGGCGAAGTGGGAGCGTATAAAAGTTATGGGGGTAGTGAACAAATTCGCAACTTTTATTACTATTCTAGGCTTACGGAAGGAGTTCGTTCACGACCAAGGTATATGTTGAGGGTAAATAAATCTTGAGTTATCAACAACATTTATCTCCTCAGAATATCGTGCTAAATTGTATACTCGTCTGGAAGATAAGAGAGTGAAGAAACTAAAGAGGGAACAACGAAAAGCAGAAACTAAAGACAAATATGCGGATACACCACAGGAAAATAAGGTACTGGGATGGCTAACTGAGTAACCATGAAACATTCATTTGGCTACGGTATATAAATTAACTAATTCATGATCAGTTGCCAAAATTAATACAACCTTATCCCCAGGGCTCTTCCCCTTTTCTAGGAGAAAAGATCTGGGGACGATGAGGTTTTGAGTTGGATAAAAATTAAAAAGGTGATATTTTTTGTGTGCAGGAAAGACGCGCTTAGTAAGACCTTTGGTTGTTTGCATTTTTGTTGATAGTCATTCAGTGATTTTTTTCAAGTGCACTTTTATGATGTACAACCCTGGAAAAGTCTTCGTACATCTCAGCAATCATATTTTAAGTCCGCCATTGATATATCGGTTCCAAAAAAAACGACCCTTACTTAGCTACCAGGAGACACACCATTAAAACAATATTGCCTTCAGTTGCAAGAACAAAAACAAAAAGGAGCTAAAGATCAGTGAAAAGTTATTTCTTTATTTTTAACATCCTAGACCAATAAAAAAAGGAAATGTGAAGACCTACCGAAGACCAGGACTCACTCTCCCAGATCAACAACAATCAACCGACGGAAGAAAAGGAAACGATATTCACGCCTGACAGACCCCTCCCTCAGAAGAGTTGTGCTTCCGCCAGAATTGGTGTCCAGACTTCCAAGTGCTCTGCAGGAAATCAACCGACGATTGACGGGACAAAATATGATGTGGTGGACAATGCATTTGTTACAACAAACACAATAAATAACAGCCGGTCTCTTTTGACTGGTCTACTACACACTTGTGAAAGGATAGCCTGAGTACCTGGCGGGTTTGTTGTCATGATGCCCGGGGTACTTTCTTGGCAGCGGAAACGAGTGGCGTAGCCTATTTCCCTTTCTTAAACGGTCGTTGCCATTTTTAACGGTGGATGCTGCCATTGATAACCAAGCCTTAAGTCATGATAGATGTAATATATTCCCTGGACTAAGTTACAATAAAGCAAATGATACGTTTTTGAATAGTGTTAGAAGGAAGGATGTTGAAGCCAAAGTTGAATTTACGTTAGAAATGATGGAAAGTGCTAGGGTCACCAGTTATTAGTAACGTTTTTGGTAATATCCTTGAATCGCATCGTTCGGTCTTTGGCGGGTTGGTATTGTACGGTGTAGTGGTAGGGGAGAGAGATTGGATACGAAAGGTCCGGGTTCCGGCGAGGTCTGAGTTCGACCCTGGGTTGCGATCTTCTTTCTTTTTAATAGAAAACTCTCAATAACAGGTAAAAAAAAATTTAATTGTCTTAAAAATGGCAGCGACCTTTTACGAAAGGAAAATTTGCAGCGGCGAAACATTGAGAGAGAATTTGTTCCCAATATTCTCACGACTCCGCTGTCGAAAATAACTACACTATTCGCCCGCTTATCCCGCCAGCTACGCTGACGAATAAAAAAAAAACTATCGACAGTAGGAGTCCATAACCTCGTTCATGGGCCACTGTCGACAACTACAGGACTCCCGAAACACTAAGGTCTAGGCCAAACGTCGAACTTTTCATGAGACGAACCAAACTTACCGTACATCCTCTATTAAGCGCCCTCCGTCCTAATAACCCCCCTTTCCAGGGGAAGAAAGTTAATAAGCCCCCCCTCTCTATTAAGCCCCTCCCTCCCCTCTCCTAATTATTCTTCATTGATAAATGATAGACTGTATTAATCAACCACGACTTTAAAACTTCCTGTGGACTGATCCGGGATGGTTTATTTACCAACTGCAAGTTCGGATGCGATTCTGATCCTCGGCTTCAAGACCTAAAACGTCTTGTACTTGAGCTTTTCTACTCCGTATTCTACTTCTTTATGGAGAACTGATACCTTCGTCCTTTCTACATTAAATAAGCCCCCTCTCTCAAATAAGCCGTATGTCTCTATTAATCCCCCCCCCCCCCGCCCTTGGGGTTCATGAAAAGTTCGACGTCTGGCTCAGTTAAGTTCGTCTGAATGATTTTGGATCGTCCAACACATTCTATCCGTTTGCTCCAAACGGATAGAACGTCTGAAGATCGTCTCCGGGACAAACACCTATCTTCACATCCCGGGGGGGTACTGCCATATATGGGCTATATAGGTATGTGCCGCTGTGAAGGGTGTGATTTTCAAGCAGTTTACTCTAGGATAGGGTATATAAATCAGAGCGTTTGGCTCTAGAATAGGGTATCATTTTTCAGGAAACTGATCAGTTGGTTGAAGTTTTTATCTAGACTAGGTTCACAGCTACTCTAGGATAGGGGGATTTGGGAAGTTTACTCTAGTATAGGGTAGCAAAATTCAGCTGAACTAGCTCTGGTATAAGTTAAGGGTTCCAGGCTCCCAGCGGCACATCCCCACCCAGAAATTCCTAAAGTGTCCCCCCGGGCTTCACATGCGACGAACTAAACTAATAAATTAAAAATGTGAATGATAAAGTATATTTAGCCTCGTTCGGGAGAAAATTTGTTAAAATTGCTTTTAAGTCTGATTGAGTTAGTCGGTTCAACGCCTCCTAAGTTCGATGTCTGACGTCGACTATTCACAGTCCCCTATTTTTTCGTGAGATCGTTTAGATATACCGCGTCTTACCGTCAAGGTTATCTTGATTTTCAAATGTACCGAGGGGGCGGGCGTTGGGGTAAGTAGTTTTGACACTCAAGCAAGATGGTAGCCTCCCACGCAGGCGTTTTTAGGGGAGCTGCGTGGGAGGCTAGCAAGATGGCAGCCCGTAACGCAAGGCGCTCGATCTCGATGATCTTACGGAAAAACAGGGGACTGTGAACAGTCTAAGTCTGACGTAACAGACGATCTCAACTTAATTTAGGTCGACCCAAATTAGAGTTTGGTTCGTATCACGAAACCTTCGACGCTTGGCCTAGGCCTAAAAGGATGGTATGAAAACCTCTCCGCGCTAGTGCCCCACGGATACATTTCTAAACGTGACACTTCTGTCAATGTACACACTGGCCCGTTTCCGATCAATATCAGGGATTTGGTTTTACAAATTTCTCTTCAATCTACAGCTTCCCGCCTGAAACTGCGTGTAGCTGGCGTTAGCTAAATAAAGTATGAATATTATTGTTTATTTCATCGTTTTGTTTTGTTTGATTTTCTTTATTTGTTTATTTTTTGTCAAATGTAATATCCGACACTGTGGGCATAAACAGAGCTGCAAGAAGGGAGGAAGGGGGACTCTTAACTCCTACCAACCCCACTCATATACATAGTCTTGATTTTCTCGATAAGGTGCCCAAATCTAGACCCCTTCATTTTCTTTGATTCCTGAACTATTTTGTAGAGTTATTACTCCCCACAGCACTCACAATATAACACACTAAATATTAACAAAACAGGCGGGAGAGAAAAGGAGCAAAGGCCCTCACGTCCCGCCTCTTCATCTCCCCCGCCCACACCCTGGCTCTCCCTTTTCTTTATCCACGCTCACTTTCTTTTCACTCGCCCCAACTCAACCGGGAATGACGTTGGTCCCGTCTATCTGAGATCCTGGTACAGGATATTTCCTATTCAGCAGGCTGGCTATTAAACGGAGTCCACAAATACGGTCTGTCGCGGCTTTTAATTGACTTGAAGTGTCGGTAAAAAGGAGTCATGACCTAGGGTTCAGTGTGACGTTAATTAAATTGTTTGAATGAGAAGCCCGGCTATATTGAATATAACATCACTGAATTAATATGTTTGAAAATTATAGCGGGCGATCAGAGGAGTTCGCACTACAGTGAAACCCCGCCTTACGGCCACCTCGATAACACGGTCACCTCGTTATTCCGGCCACTTTTTTTTTGTCCACTTGGTGACCGTATTAACGGGGTTCCACTGTACTAATCTCCATGACGCATGCGTGGCAGGTGTGTAGCCAGAATTCTTTTGCACTTCCACTAAGAATTAATGGAATGCATAGAACGCAATCTGATCACACGCGTTTGCACCTTCTATCACGTGAAACGTATCCAAAGTACAGCGTTAGGAGCGTTTTGAACTTCGATCGACCTCCTCCCCATCCCCTGGTTATTACTAGTTCTTGCACGTAAAGCTTTACTCAGCAAAGTAAAGCTTTTGTATTTGTTTCTTTTTCTTGCTACTTAACATTTTCATTGGTTTTTATTGTAACTCTCCTTTAGTGCCAATTATTTTGAGGTCTATTTTTTAATATTGAAAAGGTTTGTACGAACATGGTTTGATACACGTATCTCTTATGTGAAATACATCATATATGGGGACACGTCGGAAAAAACATTTCCGACCGATATTTTCTCCAGGTATTATTCATCAAAGAAAAATTGATTAGAAATAACGTCGCAAACTTACCAGTTATCGCTCGGTGTCTTGTTGATGTCTTGCAGAGTTAATTTTGACGTAGTACGATCAGCATTGCAGTATTCTGCTTGCAAAATTTAATATGTCAAAGATTTTACATAATTTCCCAAACTCGTTTAGTGGTCGAACAAGATGTAGATTAAATCAGATTCTTTTTGCTGGCATTTTCCACTTAAACGTAGATTTTTAAGTCACTCGCGGGAGTATTTCGTTATGACCATGCCATTTTGTTGAAAGCTTCCGCAAATGCAACCACTGCTTAATACGACAAAAAAATTCCCTTTCCGGGAATTGCACATTTTGTCAAGGTCAAATTACTTCCAGTGACGTGGCGGACTGACTCACTCAGACACCAGCATCTGTTTGGCCTATACACAATTCTCTGTTATCACTGCTTCTATTGGTACTTTATTTTATATTGTGTCATTCAAAACTTTGCTTCAGCTGATCTCAGCTGGATCATTCCCGACCCAAACAGCAGAAAAAAAGCAAGAAAGACCAACCTCAACTTCAACTTCCATTTTTACACTGTTTACAGGGGCAGTACTAACAATTGTTTTGAAACATATTCACGAGTATTTACTGAAGAAAGTTATAGAGAAACATAGCCTGCGTAGCTGGTGGTATTTGCGGGCGAGTACTGTTGTAAGTCCAGCCGATACCCCAATACGGACACCGAGGGGGTTCGTGTTCTTATTAAAGGGGTGTCCGTATTAAGCGGGTGTAAATCGGGCGTTTGCGTGTTCCCCGTGCATAACAATCCCGCTAGCTCGCAGGCTAATTAGAGACGAAAATATGAAATATCAGCAAGTCCACAGCGACAAACCGTTGAGTGGTGCCGGATCTCACAGCTGTTTAGGACCCCAGCTCTTCTAGACCTGGATCAGTATAATAATAACTTCTTGAAAATCATAAAACGGTAAACTGATCCTTACGGCAAGGCGATGAAGGAGTAAACAAAAGAATAAAACAAAAACTATATATTTTTAACAAATTTGCGGCTTTGCCGTAAGGATCATTTTACCGTTTTATGATTAATTAGGAACGTAAAACAAAAGACAACCTATGGGGGTAGGGGGACAGTGGCCAATACCCTACGAGCAGAGGCCCTTTGATCTTCCTCGGAAACTCGCAGGGCCTCTTTTCGCAGGGTAGGTGCCCGAAGGAGCGACATCTTTGGAGTTGGCCTTAGAGTTAGAGTCCAAGATTTCTAAATATGGTAAGCTAAATGGGTGTTCAAGTGTTAAAAAGTTACACACCAAGTTTACATGATGTGCCAAAATCAATGAGACCAGCTCCTGATGAGACCGATCGATGTTTAAAATTGGTCATATTACTTGACCTTACATTTTGAAGCTAGAAAATACAGCAGTTTTGATGTTATTTTCTGCGCGAATCGTTATTAAAATTTGAACCAATGAACGGAAAGCAGCGTGGGAAACGTGACGTCACTTGTACTTGTCGTTACGCCAAGCTCATAAGCTTCATTTCTGGAGCACGTACCGTACTCGTCTTTGTAGTTCTAGAGGACAAGCATTCAAAATGGTCCTTCGTCAGTGCTTGGCTTGTAATTCAATGGTAAGTCTGAAACGTTATCTTTTAATACTATATTGTAATATCAGCGAAATTTTGCCAATCTATTGTTTCTCATCCTGGATTGATCAAATTTAATCAATATTCAATCATTGCTTGTTTGATAAAAACGGCTATATTTCGTCACACAACATGAATAGTGCTGCCTTAATGAGCGTATATTCATGATTTTGACGAGAAATTAATTTGGTTGTGGAATCGATTTATTTTTATGATTAACTGCGTTAAAGTTTATGGAACTAAAAGCAGTTCGATTAACGTTCGTAAAGGCCAGTTTGCATTTATAGAGATATAGCAGTGAACCGGCGCTGTATTCTCACTACAGTAGAACTAAATCTCATAGTATCAGATAATCTGACTAGTTCTTCATTCAACCAACTCACCAAAATTACCACACCTGTAGAAAAGGGAAACTGAAGCAGCTTGATTTTTTTTTTCAGTAAGAAACCTATTTTTGCGGCCAGGCTTGCACTTCCTATTGAGGCTTATTGTATCCTGTTTTGACTATCGAGTATCCTAGTTTAAGGGTCGTCCAATTGACATTGTCCAATGTTGCATATCATGCCGTGCAGAGAGCCACTGTATTTTCCTGCAAAAAGGCTGCAAATATTCTACCTTTACTGTCCAAATAAAATAAGATATTGTATTTACATTTTGGACATACTAAGAAGCAATTCCATTCCACAGTCAAACTGATCGGTTTCCGCATTCCTTCTCAGTACCATATAAAGAAATGAACCTCGCTACGATCCTTTACTTTCACTTCCGTGTCCATCACTTCCGGTATAACTCTTGAACCTTTAATATTACGATTATTATGATTTTCTTGATTTAAAAGCCGAGTTGTCTCAGTAAATTTATAATTATTATTTTTATTGCAATTATGTCCATTCCTTGTAGACTCAGGCAAGATGTTCGTTCTGGTTAATAGTCCTCGGGAGCGGGTTGTAACAGTCACCACGGGTCTCAGGTCTCTCTTTTCTTACAGGGACAGTACTTTCCTTAGTATCTTTGCTGTCCCCAACAATACTGTTTTCTTATTCTTATTCTTATTATTGTTATTATTTTCATTGAATTTTTCCAGTGGAAATGAAGTAATTATCCAACTACAATCAACTAAGGAAGTTATAAATGGCAATTTTATCCGGTGTACAATTCGTTTCAGTTTGCATGCACATCCGGGTAGCAATCGCGGAAGTCGGTTACATTACTGACCATGGCATGGTAAATGCAATCTTAATCTCTTCTCCCCAGATGACGGAATCTTGCCGATCATGCCAATGCGGTCACGTATTTGAGGACACTAAACAAATTGCTGGAAGAAGATTCTCAGGTATGAATTCGGTATCTTTCCCACAGTAGTAAGAACCGGCGGTTTCAGAAATGAAATTCGTGAGTGCTAATTGGCATCGTCTTCATTTGTTTCATTTCATCTCCTACCTCAAGAATCTTTTGATATCGTTTCGTTCAAAGTTCACTCATAGCAATTTGATACACCGCTAGCTTTACTGACGAGAAACTCACTTATGAGAAACAAAACAAGGAGCTGTGAGGCTAGCTCACAAAAACATCCGCTAGGGAAGTTTCGCCCAGAGAATCTCTATTGGCGAGGTCCCGCCATCTATCCTTGCTCCTGGCCGCTAGGGACGTTTCGCCAGTAGAGTCTCTATTGGGGAAACGTCCCGCCATCTCTCCTTGCTCCTCGCCGCTAGGGACGTTTCGCCAGGAGAGTCTCTGTTGGCAAAACGTCCCTAACAGCGAGGGGCAAGAAGAGGTGGCTATTTTTTCAGGCTACTGTGAGGCCGAACAACGCGAAACCCTCACCAGTAGAGAGTTGGGAAGTCTAAGAAAATAGTAACCGCTTTGGGTGTTGAGCCACAAAGAGGAGTGAGGAAGTGAGTAGTTCAGGGAGAGTATCAGAGAGTATGCCGTTTTTGGTATATTTGTAGAGCCAGTCCACGTCGTCTTCTTCGACAGAGGAACTTTTTCAGCGGCCTATTCGTCTAGATAAGCATTAAGCACTAATTTATTTAATTGCCTGGCCTAATTTAATTCTGTATTTTCAGAGTACCGTGCTGAGCTGTACACACGTCTGGAAGACAGAAGAGAAAAGCAACTGACTAAGCAAACGCGGAAAGCAACCAAACAAGAATCTGTGCCACAGCCATTAAAAGAACGTAAGGTATTGGTGGAGACAACCAGTGTAGTAAGGCCAACGCGAAACAAAAATAATCAGAGACGTCTTGACAAAGTGAACTTATCTCTGAAAGAAGACTCCCACGTAGACTATTCAAAAGTTACATGTATGTTGCTTGGACTGAATTAGAACTAAAACAACCAGATGAGAATTTGGTTTACAGTAAAAGACCACTGACAATAGTTTCGCACATCGTTGTTCACATTGTTTCATCAGGCTATCTGACACGATCAATATTTTAACTCATGTTCTATTTTCCTTTTCCACTGTAGAACAACACTGAAGAACTTGCCATTGTTCCTCCACGTTTCAGTAACCACAAGAACCATTCGCTTGGCTCTAAACTGCCCCATCGCAAAATAAAAACCAAACGGATTCGTCGGACAGCGGTAAAACCATCACCTCGCTCAGCTGTTGTGCCATCAGGACTGGTTTCTAGGCTTCCCAGTGCTCTACAGGAAATCAACCGCAGATTAATAGGACAGAATATGATGTGGTGGATGTTGCAGTTACAATAAGATGAAAGGGATGGGGCCTGGGGTCCCCACCTTATTTATAGGTCAAATTGAGGCCCGTATTGCCCCCTGTTATCTTAGGACTTGATTAGCGAGGTCCCCACTTACTTAATTAATAATAATTTATAATAATTTATGAACTTATTGTGCGTAGCTTAAAATGAGAATGATCAGCTGCGCATTACAAAGACATTACTTTACAAGAAACAAATAAAAGATAATGCATTTTAAAAAAAATAATAAAAATAACAATAAAAAGAATACATATGGATGCAAGTAAGAACTGAATATAAAATTGCTCACCAATATAAAGTTCTAAAAAGATAAGTCTTAATATGCGCCTTAAAACTGTTCACATTAGTAATCGCACGAAGTTCTTTTGGAAGAGAGTTCCAGAGCGTTGGTGCTGCTACCATAAAAGCTCTATCACCTAACGTCTTTGATCGAACAGCTGGCATAGAAAGTAAAATACAACCTGAAGATCTAAGGTAATATAACGACGATTTAAATGTTAGTAAATAAACCGCGTAGATATTTAGGAGCAAGGCCGTGAATTGCTTTGAACGTGATCAGAATCCACCAAAGGCTGTTAACAAGCAGGAAATCCATTGCCTCGAACGGCTCCATAAATCCCATGGGAGTATGGCCGAACGCGCGCGCCGTGATGTTGATGAGGACACGAAACCTAGGACACATTTACAGAGGGTGCCCAATAGGGTTCTTTAATCCTGTAATCCCGACCGGAAATTTCGTGCAATCCCGTAATTCCGTAATCCTGAGGGTTATTTTTGGTATCCCACCTCCCGCGCATACTTTCAATCCCGAATCTCGCCCGGATTTGCTTTAAAATCCCGAATCCCGAGCTTCTAATAAGGGAAATCCCGGATCCCGAAAAACCTATTGGGGACCCTTTTTATACCGTATAAAAATTAAAAGGTGAAAACGGGAAAAACCAAAAAACCCAATCAAAAACCGGTCAGCCAATGGAATCGATATAGTTTCCAAACGAAATAATCGAGTACTATATTTTCCCGGAGCCCATGGGTTCTGTGACTTTCTAGTTAAACACAGTAAAGAAACAACTTTCAAAGCGAATGAAAGAATTGATCGCGTCCCGTCTTTCATGGAACGATTATAACAAGTAAACCGAAGAAAAGTTTAACCTGCCGTTTTTGTACTTTCCCGAAAGCGGCCTACTGCATTAAAAGAAGCAATTTTGGAAAAATAAAAAATTATGTAATAAACAAAATTTGTGTCTAGTATGATTAGAGATGACGTCGCCTAGATACTGCACTTTGCTCTGCAGGCATTGAACCGAGTCGTCAAAACCAATCCTGGCATCACTTATAATAAGATGACTCTTTTACATCCCCATTTCACAAGTTTGCACTCAAAACTTAATAATTTTATCTTTCTCAACTGAACAGTCAACTAGTAAATATATCATCTCATGCCAAATTTAACGGGAAAAACACTTACGTTAAACTTTCGATATCACTGATAAGTACGCAAGTCATGTGGAATGAGGAATTTCAAGTCAGCTCAAGCCTTGCAGCAAATTCTTTTTAAGTTACCAACAGAGACTAAGCGGAAGAAACCTCACTCATTGGTAAATGGTTTATATTTACAGAACGTGCAATATGCCTGGTAGTTATTTTAAACTCCTCGGGATTGCTAAATTTAAATGAATAAAGGAAGAAAAAAAAACAAACACTGGAATTTATAGTGGTTTGACGTCCAAGGATTAAAAGGTACTTTGAATTTTAAGAGGAAGTCCTAGTTGATACTTGCGGTCGTTGTCTGCAGATGTGCAAAACTATAAGATCAACACTATTTTTGCGATTATCCAGGCGAGGGAAATTACAGTGACTCGCCACGGTCATCAAGAGAAAAAGGGCAAGACCTCACAGAAAATAAGAGGAATGATAAGGCGGTGGATTTTTTTTAATTTCCTGGCGTTATGATGTCAACACTATATTTGTTGTTCTGACTGGGTGATAAGACGTAACACTGCTTCCCACAAAACTCAACTACTCTAACTATGTGCAATATCTAAAGTAATTCAAGTGAAAATTCCGGGTGTACTCCCTTTTATAAGCCATATACTAGGTATATCTGCCCCAAAAGGAAGGGTTCCGTTTGGGTCTGACAACAGGTGTGGACTTTGCCAATTTTGGTCTGGAATCGGGTATGGTTTTCGAGGTAACTAAGGGAGTGTAAGAACGTATTTGTCGATTCAATTCTAAATGAATAAGAAAGAAAGAGTAAAATTAGAATTCAAAATAGATTTTAAGCTATCGTTTTGTTGGCGTTGTAGTCTAAATAATGACGACATAATTTCCTCCTATATAAACATGTACGGTACTGTTTTGTGAGCTATTACCGGTCTGAAAAGGGATAGTAGATTTTACATGCCAGGTCTGAACACAGGCGTGGAAATGACAAAATTTTTGGTCTGAAATGGGGTCAGGATTTGGGAAACTGGGCAGCACACCCCCACCAAGAATTCCAAGGAGTATTCCCCCGGGTTGAAAATACGCGGACATCATTAATTCGCATCACGAGGCTTGCAGATATCCACTTCGTCATCGGTATTTCTGTCACTTTGGAATGAAAGTTCCGGTCAATGTTCGTTCACTCTGCAAAGAACTTATAGAATGAGAGTTGTGTCTGGAAAAGGGAGGTCCATTACCTATAGCTATTTATCCACAACAATCTGCTTTTTTCAACATAGTCAAGTAGAGCTATGATAATCACTGACTCTGAAACAACGAATACTGAAAACAAACAAACTAATTGGCCTTTTATAGAACAATCTCTGTCAGAACGTAATGAATGGCAATAAAACATTTTGATTACTTCAGGTAGATTACATCTTGGTAAAAAAAAAAAAGAAGAAAGAAAAGAAAACATATATCTTAAATATGCTTCAACTCTGACTACAGCTGAGTTAATATCCATCTCATCAGTACAAGGCATGAAACAAGTAATTGGACCACTGACGGTTAGTCTGGTTAGTCGATCCTAGCCGCCTATAACAGTGCTAATATTTACCTATGAATATTTCAATTTTAAGGTAGGGTTTGGATAGTAATTCTTCATATCCCTTGCTGCTTTTCAAAATCAAAATAACTGATTTCTTTTTCTTTCGCTTTACAGCAAAATTATTAAAAAATTCGAGCGATCATACGTCTTGCAACATCAAGTCCCCATGTTCCCCCGCGCTCAAACTTTTTAACACGTGACGTCACACATCACCGACGCAAAATAATACACGGTTTGTGGCACGAAGTATTCATATGTATTCTAGGAATAGGACCTGTCTCTTCACCGTCTCTTCGACTCAAGCAGCTTGCCAGAAGTTCAAAATGGTTTATCGTATGTGCTTTGCTTGTAATTCCATCATGGTAAGTTTGAAATCAGTTGCCTGTTATTTCGTTTGAAGATTCTTATGTTTAAATGCTGCCCCAGCTCAGATAATTAGTGATATTCAAATTTTCTTTATTAATTATATTAATTTTCATTTTAACGGCTCCATTTCGTCACACAACAACCTGGCTCATGCAAAAGGCGCAACTTCTGTATTTACTTAGTTTCGTCGTTTAAATGGCAAATTGCCTTTAAATTTTTCGAGCTGGAAGTGGGTCGATCGCACAGCGTTTGCAACAAAGACCATGAAGCGCGCGCAATTTACTGGTAATGCATACCGATAGACTACATTTGTAATGAAACGGAAAACGAAATATCAGTAAAATTTGAAGGTCGGTGTCTTGTGTAGTACTACGAGATGATAGAATTCCTTGCTACAAAATTAACACCTTCCTTAATTTATACCTCAAATTATTTGTATTTCATCAGACATGAATCATAAGAATCCAACTTATTTCCTGACAATCAACTGTAGGGTCCAGTGAGAAGGAAATGAACCACCTTTGACCACCCTTCACATGTATATCCGCATGTAACATTTCCCGTTTCATCAGACAATCTTCTCAGTGCTTCCTTTTTTGAAAGTCAAATTTAATTTTGATGTTCGATAAATAATATATTCATTTTAGTGTTTTTTTTTTCCTTATCAGTTTTCTTTCTCAGTTTTCTTGGAAATTATGTCATCTGTAGACTGATTTGCCGCTACCCGAGCCCACTCAGCCGTCAAGGAAGTTCCAACTTATCGGGCGACTTATCAACGAAAAAGGTTTGAATTCCATTTAAGCTCCTCTCAGTTTGGCAATTTATGCTCCTCTATTGGGATTTTTTGTTTTTCTTTTTTTAAAAATGGCTATATTAGCCTAAAGACGTTTGCTTTTGCCATCGTTTTCTTCGGAAACGTACCGTTAGAACTTCCTTACGGCCGCGGGGCCAGCAGATCCATGCGCATTGAAAACCCATCATGGGGCTAAAAATGTGTACAAATCTGCCCCAAGAGTAAAACTGCAAGGAATCACGCCGGCGCTATCATGCCAAACCCTGCCCGGTGTAGTCTGTACCTTAGTGGTCATACCGCGGTATTTGGAGGTGTGTGCTTCTTGCAGCCATGGTCCCAATTAATAGTTCAAACGATGGATAACGCTAGGACACCAACTGCGCTCAGTTTTATCCAGTGGATAGTGTTATCCACTTTCGAACAACAAATGCCCGACCCTAGAGACGGGGCAGGTACTACGTAGTCTCCTTGAAACTAAAAGGCTACGAATCGCAAATCCAGCGAGCGAGTACATATAGTTTACCTCATAGAAAGTGCGGCGTACGGGGTTATATTCACGAGTTGTTTGTCTCAAAACCCGAACGACTAAGGTACGAGCACTTTCACTTTCTATGACCTGGACTGTTTATTACAAATATCACGAGAATTTTCACTGGAATAGTTTTCTTAACGTAACAAATATTACTAAGAGCAAATCCGCACAAATAGTAGAACCACATGCAAATTTAATAACACTGAAGGGCAAATCTCGCAGCACATCCCACGTCATGCTGAACGGACTAACATAAAACGCACGTACAAAAGGTTAATCTACTAATCACGCTACAAAAGACAGACCTCAGCGATGTGGGGTCGTATCATTGTCTCCTTCTTTCTTTCGAACTTGAAGTAGAAAATTGGCGATTAACACGTCGAGATCTCTTGCATCAATATTTTCCATCTCTCTCGATTGCTCGTTCCTTGAAACTAAAAACTTTTTTTAACAACGAACTCTGTGTTTTGCTTAATGTGTTGTTGTTTTCTTTGAATGCAAACGATCAACGACTCTGATTTGCTCCAAGGTATTTACGCTGTCGTTGATTGGTTATACTTCCACATGTGAAAAAAGCTGTGCGCCATTCTGATCGAGCTTGATCGGCTGTAGAAGCTTTTCTGACATGTGAAAAAAAAGCGTATAGATTTGCACAAATAAGCTTTACGAAATAAAATTCTCGTGATACGTGTAATAAAGTAAATGACGAAACAGTTCTTATAGTACTTTAACCCACTTGAAACTCAACAGCTACAGAGTGCGTAATCGTGAATAATCAAATAGTGTATGAATGAACCGGTTTCCCGATGCTTTGGTCGGACCCGAAAGAAGGAGGTCTTGACAGCGTGCAAAAATCTTACCAAGACGAGAAAATGTACTATTGTTTCAAAAGTGTCACAGATATACGGATAATCCTTCCAGTGGCAATCTTTGCAAATAAAGACTTTTTCTCTTGCTTACAAGTTTTTGTACTGATTCTATAATGACTTCAAGCTGTGGGAATTTAAGAAATACATTATCTTATTTCCCTGACTGAGATGACGGAGTTCACGGATAAATCAACGATTTTCCCTCTGAAAATAACCAATATGACTCTCGACCTGAAGTCATTTATCGTACTGCTCGGTATTGCAGTGAATCACTCAAGAACATGATGTAACCTGTGAAGACGTTTTTTGTTGCTCGGCTTATAGAGGAGATGACCACACTCTCATTCAAGAGAGGTTTAGTTATGTCCTCTTGACTAGGCTTTAAAAAGTGAGACAAGACACGTTCTGCAAGGCAATCACGCCACCCATGAAAGATGACAAAGACTTTTATTAACGACAAGAGTTGTGCCAGCAGATGAAAATTCGCTCATAAATTCATCCTGCCATGTTATTGCGTGTGCTGGCTGAGACAAGGGGGTTATCGCCGAGTCATGCACACTTTGAAAAACTGCGTTTCCAGCAAAATATGAACGCTCAGTCAGCAAAAAACAAGGACAATTAATGAGTAAGTGTGGGAAGGCTGCCAATGCCAATCAATTACCCACTGCCACGAATCAACACCGCTGTGGGACAGGACAAAGCAAGAACAAACGTTCAAAAACAAAATATGCCAGCATGAAAGCCTTTTCCCCTTGAAATTAAGTGGCAATGTGAGTCGTGTTATTCTTGCTTTTCTGAAAACCTCTATCAGTAACAACCTAAACGATCTAAGGTAGCATTCTGTTCCAGTTACGACAAACTGCCGCAAGCTCCTCAAACAAGGAAGACGAGTTGACCCAAAACTAGTCAAACCAGTTTATAGCTAAATCAAATTTCTAACGATTACATGTTCTAAAAAAAGCTCACGAAGCTTTTTTTTTTTTTTTTTTTTAGAAATTCTTTATGATCTTCCCGTAAATGAAAATTGTTTTCATAAATCCGAATAGAGTTTTCTTTTTTTCGCATCAAACATCTATTTCGAGAAAAGTTTTCGTTTTGGCCACGCATCGTGACGCCTGAATTTTTTAAAACTGTTTGACGGGTGACGTCATCATCGCCAACACAAAACCGGCTTGTGGCGTATTATATCAATTGCGCAAAAGTCTATCACCCCCATTTCAGATTAGCAGTTGTCGTTCAAAGACCGTATTTCTCCAACGCTTATATATTCAAAATGGTACTTCGACAGTGCTTAGCGTGCAATGCCATGGTAAGTTTTAAAAATGACCTTATGATTTCACTGAAGATAGCAATATTACTGCATACAGAGGAGTTTATTTCGAGAAGGCAAAATTCAAATTTATCTTTGTCCGTTGATAAAATTAATTTCCATATTAACGTTCTATTCCGTCACACAACGACGAGAAGAGCAACTTGATTAGTTTTGGTCATGTTGACAACAACTTGCTTCCTGTGGATCGTTGTCTAAATTACAAATTCGCAAAAATTTATCGACTTATTGAACCTGCAGTTAAATCTCAAGTATTTCACGGTAGTTTTATACGCTTGCCAAGCACGCGTTGGCGACCCAAGGCAGGTCAAGGCGGGCTCTCGAAACTATTGTACACTCACATTCTAGTTCAAGTAACGTAAGCTTACATAAATTGAGACTAAGGGGGTTGCCTATATTTTGTCGAACACAATTTCCAAGATCTGCACTAAGAACGTTGTTTTCGGAGCAAGCCCTAGAAACCCTCTCCCTTTTGTCATTTTGCGCCCTCTCACAACCTGATGTAAAAAAATCAACAAATCTGCTGGGTCAGGTTCTCTAAAACCCTAAATACATTAGCGGATTTGTATCTTACTTGTTTTAAGGGATTCAGCCGTTTTATCATTTGATTGGCAACTTGTTAGATGGAACATGAGTCCGCTATGAACGGATGTTAATCTTGCATATCATAGTCGCGCTTTTTCGACCAATTGTGAAACACAAGCATTCGTGTTAAAAACTCAGTTAACCCTTACTCATTTCGATTCAGTATGCTGACTTCAGGTATATTTTCACGTCAAAATGAATATTTCAGGTTTAAACATATTTGACTACTTCAGCCATCACAGCAGTTTCAGTTTCGTAGAGGTCGCAAAGATTCTTTTACAGCCGATCAGCTCTAATTTTACCCGGTGCCGTTCAGAGAAAGTTGGTGAAGTTTCTCCTTTAAAGCTCCTCACAAGTATTAGGAAAATCAGTCGCGTTATCCAGTGGATAGAGATTTATCCGATGGATAGCGTTATCCACCTTTTCAACAACTGGGGCCTGGAGTTAAAACCAAGATACAATTTTACGTGTAAAGGTGATAGCTTAAAACTAACAAGCTATGAACAAAATTACCCGAAGTGAAGTTTACTTCACAATTTTGAATTAACTTGTTTTATATCCATTATTTGACTTCATGTCAAACTGCACAAACTCGGGTGATTACTGAAAAAATGAATCATGCGCACAAGCATTGCAATAATCATCCTCACCCCTCTCCCCAGATGACAGATTCGTTCAGATCCTGCGCCTGTGGTCACGTGTTTGAGGACAGGAAACAGATTGGTGGAAAGAGATTTTCAGGTAGGAATGTCATGACGCTGGTTATAACTGGTTATTGGTCTCATTTGCATAGAGTTAGTGATATCGATATAGGGAGCTGTAAACACTTGGTGTTCAGACATAGAGCCCGAGTACCGAACTCGCTCAGCACTAATGTGAACACGCCCTTTTACGGTATATACGCAAGAATTCGGGCATGGTGTCAGTGCCGGAGTACTCGGGCACTGTACTGGGCACACGCCTCTGTGTGCACACCTTTCCTCTTAGCTCGGAGGCAATCTACTGCTTTGTAAACCCATAACTCCTCTCACGCACACGTTACAAAATAGCGTTGCAAGTATTTACGCAGTTACGTATGATGGTGTTGCGTACACCCAAGATGTGAACACAATAACATTTTGTGCCAGTAATTTGAGACACCAGTGCTCGGCCAGAACCAAGTGTGAAGCCGCCTTTAACGAATCCCATTTAAACTACCTGTCAATTCAACGCAGGGGTACTTGCGTACTTGGACATTGTTGGCCGCCTGTAAGAGGGTCAAAAACGGACTTGATGTAAAAGCCTGTTTCAACTAATAAGGTTCTTGTTTTAACAAGAATCCTTTAGACAACCGCCTTTCCTTCCCAAAAGTAAAGAGTTGCCATTAGCGACACATACAGTCGATTCCCGATAACTCGAACCCTTGCTAACTCGAACCACGATCGATTTCTCCTGGATTACTGTACTTTTACCCTCGATGACTCGAACCTTCCTCTAACTCGAAGTATTTTTTTGTTTCTGTTTAGATCATTTCTATGTAATTTTGACCTCGATAACCCTAACTATGTTTTACACTCGTGACAAGTCGAAAAAAAAAAAAGAGAAACAGTTCAGTACTGCAGGTCCCGGCGAAACATTGAATTTAATTGAAATTAAAACAAGCATGTATTATTTTGCCTTTACTTTTTTTGTCAGTCCAGTCAAATGCAGTATCCAGCCCTGTATATTAATCAAGCTTTGTCATTTGTGATTTCGTTTGATTCCTTTTTCAAAATACCAGTATATCTCTTTCTGCCCTTGAAGTTAAGTGTACATGGTACTTATTTTAATTGCACACCTTGACAATCGTCATTTTCTTATTTTCGGTTATTGGCTTCCAACTCCCCATACCGTATTTATTCGAATAAGCGCCCAACCTCGAATTAGCGCCCACCTCGAATAAGCGCCCATCCTAAAGGCAGAAAAAGTTAATAAGCGCCCAGCCTCGAATAAGTGCCCCCCCACCACACCTTCCTCCCACTCCCGCTCAAACTCAAATTAGCGACCACCCCTTAAACTGAATAAGTACTAATAAGAGACTTTCCCGAAGACGGAGTTTTCTTCAAAGTATTTTACAGGAACCTTGCTTTGTTACATCTTCGCGTTTTGTTATTACCATTTATTGTTTTGTTGCAAAATACACATACTACACTTGCTGAAAATGTTGAAAATTTAATAAGCGCCCAGCCTCGAATAAGCGCCCACCTCGAATAAGCGCCCACTCTCAAGGTCCAAAAATTTAATAAGCGCCCAGGGCGGTTAATCGAATAAATACGGTAACTCCAACTTTTCTCTATTTCCCCAGAAGGTGCGAGTTATCGGGAGTCGACTGTAGATTAGACTACGAGTGAAATCGCAAACGAGTCAGCACTGACGAATTTGGAATTGAAGCTAAATGCATCCCCGGAATAACAACGCTTTTCTTTTGCTGACTAGCATGCACTCGTGGTCGTACTTAACTCAATCTCGTTCTGTCACGTAGTCCAAATCTAAAGCGACGGTCGTCGAAGATATTTATATACCATTCCCTTAAAGTATTGCAATATGATGAAGATACCAGGAAATGCTCTTATAAACCGACTAAATTAAAAACGCTGTGAAAGCAGCACTTTTCTTTCACTGGCATAATTCGTCTCGACATAAAAGATTCACGCATTTTTTGGGTTGTTGTTAAATTTCAGAATATCGGGCAGAGTTATACACTCGTCTGGAAAACAGAAGAGAAAAACAGTTAAAGCGGAAAAAGAGACTGCAAGCGAATGAAACAGAAACTGGACCACAACCTCTAAAGGAGCGAAAGGTACGTACAGTGTAGGAAAGCTAGAGATGCAATTAGTTCCTACGGACTCTACGGTGCTGTGGCAATGAGGGAGTTATCCATGGCGGGCCCCGTCAAACCTGTGTAGCAGGCGTTCGAAGGACAAAGGAAAGAGAAAATTAAGTTAGGGCGCAAGTGCACATGGGGGGCACGCGAGGGAAGGAGAAAGAAGGAAAGTAGGAATTCCTTTCCCTCTTTTCTTGCGCGTCTAACGTTCCCTACCCTCTACTTTCAAACGACTTCCACACGGGCTTCGCATCGCTAGTTCAGGGCCACCGAGGAAAATTTCCTTTTGTCGTAAGATTTACTTAAAACTGGTGACTCAACTGCTTGAATACAACACTTGCGGGAAATCATTAAATAGAAAACGACGCCAGCTATTGAACTGAAGACAAAATACTAGGAGTTGTGCTGTGATGGACTGTGACATTTTTCGGCATGGAGTGACCGTTCATGGTCCTAAGCGCTAGGAACTCATAGTGGAGTCCTGTAGGTGCTTTATTGTGCATAAATAGAAAGGGCTTTGGTAGCGCAGTTTTTCTGTAGCCTAAAAGGACTATGACACCTTATTTGCTATTGCTAATGTAATGTCTTTATCACCTTCATAACTCTACAGTATATAGCATTCTGGTGACATGCCCCTCTAAGCGAGCCTTAAAGGAGCTGTGTCACGAAATTCAGACAAATTAGGTAATTACAAAATGCCCGTTAGATTAAGAGAAACATAAAAATAACCACTTAAAACATTAGAGGAAGGTTAAAATAACACAACAGATACAACAGATGCCACGGATGGGCAAAACTGAAGAAGACTGAAACGGATTGAAATTAGGGTTTTTGAAAACTGTTCACTGGCCCAACAGTTTTTCAAAGTTGATCTCTGCTGTTTGCAACTTCAAATATAATGATCAAGAGACATATCTATTTGTCTCGAATCTTTGATTTTTGTCATTCACATGTAATTTCTTTGCTTACATTAAGTTCCATAGCGATTACGGGCGAGCAATTGGCAAAATTAAACAAAATGAACTGGACTGCCGTGACACAGCCCCTTTAAGCTAGCCTTCTCTTTCCCACAGTAATTTCATATTTTCTTGAACGTTGCCTCATTTTTTCCCCAATTTAGATTAATGTTGAAGACTCCACAGTTCTTCCTTCTGGTTTTGAACCAAAGAACTACACCTTCAGCTCCAAAAAGCATCACCGTAAAATAAAGGGCAAAAAGATTCATCGGCCGTCACCGAGCCCAAGCACCGTACCACCGGAACTGGTGTCTAGGCTCCCAAGCGCTTTACAGGAAATTAACCGAAGACTGACAGGACAAAACATGATGTGGTGGATGATGCAGTTAAATTAAAAATATTGTCGGTCAGCATGATAAATATAAGAGCTGATCAGCGGAAGAGCCTTTATCGCAATCGTGCATGAGGATCTTGTAAATTCTATTTATAGAGGGAATTTTTATATATGTACATACACGGTCGTCCAGTCCCGGAATTTGCCTAGTGCTGCATGGTCCTTCAGTGAGTTGATAGTTGTCATTCGTCATTCATTCTAAAAGAGTTGCCACTGAGCATAAGAGAATGAGAGGACTTCGTTGCCTAGATGAAGATCTCCCGACGTCACAGGTTTAATGCATAATGCAAGTCAGCTATGAGGATCGAACAAAGTGATAAACAGTCATCTTGAAATAATGATTGTCTACTGACTGTACTGGAAAAAAAAACAGGCAATGCCGTTTGAGAAGAGTACCGCCTCCTTGATGCTGTAAATTTGATTTCATTGACTTTGACATCAGATAAAACAGTCACATATCATTTAAGTAAAAAATTTAATATCATGAAGCCATTTCAAAAAGTGGTGTTGGCAAAGAACATTTTGAAATATAAGTTATAAAAATTCTAAATAAAGTTGTAAGCCTCTTCCGGTTTCAGTGCACTCAAGCTGACTCGACCTTCACGAATTCAAACCGAATTGACCCTTGCGCATGATGACTGAGAGAAGTTATCCTGCGTAGCCGACGTGTTGAGCAGGCAAGTGCTGTAACAATCACTTGTTGTCGCTTATATTTAGGGTGGGACACGGCTTCGGGAAGTAAGAAGTCTGTTTGTTTTTCAGTGCTATATTCAGCGTCTCCGGATAGATAATTTTGACCCCGCCGGTGAGTCGGTCTTAAATTTGTTTCGCAGACAGTTGATCAGATGTTGTTCGCTTTTAATGTTTTTCCCCATTCCCCTGATACAGCTCCGATTTGCCGAGTCAAAGCAAAGATAAGCAGAAACTGAGGGGTTATCACCTGTTTTTGTACTTTCTGACCTTTCTGTTCCTAGCCGGACCTTTGAGAAAATTGTTTTCCAGAGGTGAAAAGTGAATGTAAAAAGTCCAGTTAGTTCTAAAATCTGAAGGAAACTTCACTCTTAATTATGACAACAGAAGAGATGGTGGAACTCAAGGTTTACGGTCATCTCGCCACCTAACAAAATCGCCACCAAGAAGTTCACTCGCCGCCAAGAACGTAAAACTCCTCGGTTATTAGACTTATTACTTGGAGGCGAGTTGGTTGGCGAAGAGTCGACTTCTTGGTAGCGACTTCGTTGGTGGCGAGATGACCGGTTACCGAACTGAAACTCCAGGAGGGTGGATCCCCTTGCTCAAAGAGACGCAACAGCTAAGCAAAAGCAACAGCTATATAACGAACCATAAAGGAGAGAACTTACTTGTATCGCCAAAACAGTCACATCGAAATGCACCGATGACAGAGGCGATGTTACAAGAGAGGATTCGCAACGAGGGCCTGAGGCCCCGTACACACTAACGCGTTTTCGGTTTTTTTCCAAACATTGTTGCTCTAAGGCCCTCTCCACACTAACGCGTTTTCAAAAGTATGCGTTTTCGTTGTCATCGAAAACGCATCGATCGATTTGCGTCCACACTAAAGTTTTCGTGCGTTTCCGACTGTTACAACGCACTGTAGTGCTAACAGTCGTAAGTCTTTACAACAATTAGGTTCAATCGACAGTCTGGGCAATTAGTTGCATGGTTCCCACCAAGCCCCTTCAAAAACTGACAAAAATGCAAAGACAACGAAGCATTTAGCACATGATTCTAACGAGCATTATTTTTCTTAACAACAACATGGGTCGGGTGGGTTCAAAGATAGTCTGCTACACAGCCGTTTGAAGACGGCAGTCCGCGTGTCCGCAGTTAGAGGACCTTAATTATGGGGTTCCGTTATCCGTGAAAAAGCCAAACATTGTAATCTTTGCGCCTAATGGCTAAAACTTTTAGCCGTTAATCGTATTAACAAATAATAATAATAACCGTATTTTCATTCCTAGCGAGTCAACCTCGTTCCAAGGGTTCGCTCCTACCCGCCCTACGGTGGGCGGGTAGGGGAGAACCCAGGGAACGAGGTTGATAGAGAGTGCCAATTTTGCTTTGTATAACTTTACAAGTCTTGTCTGCCTAGTGGCTTTATATACCATCAGTTTCACAGGGGCACCCAACGACAATTTTCGGAAAAATATCTGTTCGGAAGACGATTTGGGATCTAGAATTTTCGGAACATTTGTTGTAAAATTTCTTGCTTGCCTGCCTCTCCTAGGATTTTCGAACATCTAAAAAATGGTAAAATTGCCCATTTTCAACGGATTTTTACCCTAAAAAGGTCACCTAAAATTTTCGGGAGCATTTTTTCTGGCTGAAATTTTCGAACAGGCAAGTTTTGATCCCTATAATTTTCGGATCACTAGACTTTCAGCTAGAAAATCCGAACAGATGAAAAATTTATAGGGGATAAAAATATGCCCATATCCACTGTTTAAATACTAAAATACGTTTAACAATGCTATGTTTAAGTGGTTTTGAACTATATTCTCGTTGGGTGCCCCTGGTTTCAGCCCAGGCCTTTTTCTATCCACGAAAGCTCCGGAAACGCTCCTCGGAAGCCTAAACCAGCGAAATCGATGGAAACTTTTGAACATTTCTAGCCGTAGAAAAGCCTCCACTCCATCGCGGTCACAATGTGAAGTAGTTAATACTTAGACAGCTGATCCGGTTTACCCAATACATACTTTTAAAACTCTTGTAAAAACCTTCAAGGAAAAAGTGTACTTGTCAACACTTCGTCTTGACGACAGTTCTTGCGTCACGTCCAATAGGAAATGCGCCCTTGTAGTCTTAGTTTCCTTTTTGTTTTGTTTGCTTGATTGCTTTAAAACAACATTCCTCTGAATACGTTTTCACTACGCCCACAATACGAAATAACACAAATTGTACAACATGTTTGCAGCTGTAAAGAGAAGTTTGTGCTCGATATGACTATCAGTATTAATCATGAAAGCTTTGCAGCTAAAACGGCTAAAACTCTGAAAACTACTTGGTATCTTGTTGTTTCTCGTTGTCTATATGGCCCACTGCTTAAAAGGAAGGCGGAATTTTGTTCTGACCTCTTGAAATGGTTTGCCCTCTGAATATATTGCCTCTTAGCGAAGCATAAATTATGTCATAGCAAATTTTCAAACTATGCAAACCATGCCCGGGTTACAACTTCTCAAAATGGCTTAATGAAGGAGTGTGATCATAAAAAAGGCTGTCGAAAGATGAAGCTCCATCTATAATCTCATTAACATGTCTTTCTGAGCGAAAATGATTGTGTTGGCGCGGCAACTGGATATTCATGCTAATTTGGCGCAATTTTTTCCGCTTTGGAGCCAATCTTTTTTGCCGATCTGCCAATCAAGCTTAACGTCACCATGGAGAACAATGCGTTAATTATCATTCAGGGTGAAAAAAACTGTAAAAAAATATTTAGTGCTCTTGAGGGAGCATGAGGTATCGCAGATGATAGTTTTGTGGGGTGAAAAGAGAATCGGATGTTTCCGAAGGAAGTACAGAAAATGGATCATAACAGCGCATAAACATGATTGCATATAGCGTTCAACAACACGCGTCTCAGGACAACGCAGGCGAGTATTAACCAGGCTTTGTAATATTAATTTTTTCAAATAACATGAAGCTACAGTCGTCGAGAGCCAAGACAAAAACAGTTTTTCGTTCAGTTGATCATCTGCCTGTTCCAAGGTGATGATTCGTTTATAATCGTAGGCGTCCTTCGTGGATGAGGGTTAAATTATTTCGCCTCTCTGATTTTCTTTACTGTTAAGATCGACGGTTAGGGATGATCTGGCGGAAATTTACAGAAGGGAAATTAGTAAACGTGCAGATGAACTCGATTGATGTTTATGTTTGCCTTATCTGGTAACGAAATTCGAAGGTTGAAGAGTTAATTAGCCTTAATCTTTCAGCGTAAGAATCACACGACTGAACCAGCACAATTCGAAAAAAAAAATTAACAAGCGTAAAGGGTAGTTCGTTAGAACAAACTGTTGTTGTTAATTTCCCCGGAAGCAATCAACCTTGAATACTCTCTTTTCGCTTTTAGATGGCTTCTTTTGAATGCCTTTTCTTTACGCCTGTGAAATGAACAATATGGTCCTAAAAAATGGCAATATTTTGACCGTTTCTGTTAGTTTTTTAAAAGAATATAAACAGCCAACTTAAACAAAATAAGCTGATTTTACAACCATATTAACGGTCAAATATACATCGAGTGAGTCTAATTTTATATTGTGGAGAAAGAAAGAGGTCACGCATGTAATTCATATCGGGTAACAAAAATAACAAGGTTCCATTTCTAAATCTTCTTTTCTTTCCCTTTTTGTTAACAGTAATCTTCAATGCGAACATCGTAGCTGTTATTGCAAGCGTTGTATCGTTGGGAAGCATTGCCGTGTTGTGTGCTTGGTGTTACAAATGCTGGAAGGGCTCAGAAGACGGTACAGACGGGAGCACTGAAAGCGACTACGACTCCTCTTCGGACTCCCAACTGTATGGAATCCCAGGACACAAGTACCGCGCATTTGCAAAATATTCCTCGCTGTCAGACGTCTCTCCACCGGAACAGCGAGTCGATTCACCCGGGTATCAGAAATCGTTGAAATTTTCCCAGCCACCTCCTCAAGAGTTCGACGTGCAGGCCCCACAACCCAGTGTTTCTAGTATCGTTATTCCCCCAGAACCACCCCTCCTTGAATCGTCTAACAAAGAAGACCTTGGAAAGATCTACTTTTCAATCAGCTACGATTCAGGAGAAATGGTCCTTACGCTGAAGATTCTCAAAGCCACTGGTCTTCCAGCCAAGGACTTCAGCGGTACAAGTGACCCGTTTGTGAAAATTTTACTTCTTCCGGACAAGAAACACAAAATGGAAACTCGGATTAAGAGAAAAAACCTTCATCCCATATGGAACGAAGTGTTTCGTTTTGAAGGATTTCCGCACAATAAGTTACTGAGTCGAACTTTATATCTACAAGTTTTGGACTACGACCGTTTCTCGCGAAACGATCCTATCGGGGAAATAGAGATCCCGCTAAGTGACATAGACTTAGGGCCTACCACCCTCACATTTTGCAAGGACCTTCACCCCTGTAAACGCCAGGTATGTTATATATTTGTTTTGATCATTTTACGCGTTTTTCACGCATAATAACCCCTATTTTTGTTTCGTGCAAACGAAATGCCGCCTTATCTTTAATCTTGTAGTTTTGAAGATGGGTTTCATTGAGCGATAAAATTAGATTTGAAGTAGACTACGAAAAAGGTGTTCCTTGGAATTTAAAAATAACAAAAAATGAATTCTGACGCCTCGATAAAAGAGGAAATTATTTTCCATAGTTTGTCCTAATTTTTTCATTTCGC